CACTGAAATAAGGAAGTATAAAGGAAAAGACTATTTTTTTTAGACATGGCTCATTCAGACGTGACAGTAAAACATCCCAGTAAAGAAGCCCAGCAAAGAGTAGAAAATAAAACAATGAAGTTTGGAAGAAACAGAAGGACAAAAGACATATGGCAGTCATATAGGCAGAAATCACTTTTGTTTTTGGCAGTCTTATAACTGTATTTGACAATCAGCAGTTCGTTTTCAACCACGTTAACTATCTGTAGATTTTCGAAAGTGGCAGCAGGTACACAGGTAATCAACATATAGAGCTTGTTTGGTGAATGAATCTTCATCCTCATTACATTTTCTAGACAACCACACCCAGATACGGTATGAAACTTCCTTATTCCTGTGGCCCAAACAGCTTAGTTGAGCCTGGTGTCAATGTGTACATCTAAAGTTCCCATCTCCTTCATGGCAAATTTCCAGATCTCTTTAAGTGCCAGAAAAGCATGCTTCTTGAAACCCACTCCATGGATGCCCTTGTTGATAGTGTATTCTCTGGTCACTACCTTGTTAATGGCAGAAAGACTCTTCTTCTCAGCACCCTTCTTTGCAAGAGCCATTCTGCTGGGCTGAGTTAAAAATGAAGCTCAAAGTGTTCCTCAGAGGATTTAGGTTAGGTCCTCCAAAAAATATTCATAAAGGGTAAAGAGACCGAAACAAAATGAGAGGCCAAATGGCACAATGGAAAGCATGGATTTGGGAATTAGACAAGGCCTGAGTTCACACTACAGTCGTTCACAAGTTGTGTGACCTTGGGCGAGTAATTCGGTATCTCCCAAGTCCAGTTTACCCATTTATGAAACAGGAATACCTTCACTCTAAGGATTAAAAGGGGTAATTCCTAAAAGGTATTTGACACACCACCTGGGAAAATTGGAATAAATGGTAGAAAATCGGTAGCAGCTGTTGCTCTAACTACTACTATTGGTACTGCATATGCTGGGCACAAAACAGGTGCTTAATAAATGCTTACTTATTTTTTTCATCTATAGAAGGTAACTCAACATCATGGGTAATAATGAAGCCCCAATTCAGCGGGTTATTCTATTCTATTCTCCCAAAAGTTCTGTATAGCAGAAACTTAAAAGAATTAAACGCATATTAATTTCATAAATGGCTTAATATCTTTATTCTCTAACTTAATGGGATATATTTATCCTCCAAGAAAAATTTCAATGGTGATGTCACAAGTAGGAAAAAAGATCACTGAATTATGAAGGTTCACATAAAAACAAATGAAAGTGTTAGTGCTTTAGAAATCACTCACCAAAGATTCCATTGTTATTTTTATTACAATGGCACCATTAACTTTATCCTCTGCAATTAATCATTTTTGTATTATCTTTCACTTGGAAAAAAAATTAAGTGATTTTCTAACTACAACCACACAAAAATCCAAATTTTATATAACACCCTCAGAGCTGTCCTGAAAACTAAATGGCACAATGTATACGAAAATTCCTGGCCAGGTCCCTAGCACGTACTACGCACTCACTGAAATCTAATTCTCTTGTTATCTTACATTCCTTTTAATTAATGAAAGAGACCTTATAAAAGCAAATATAACACAGGATTTACGGAACTAAAATGCTTTAAAAAATACACTGACTTGATGCCAATCCACATCACAAAGGTGTTCGTTTTAATGTATCTTAGTTTAATAACAAGGAGTTTGTATGATACATACTACTATAATCAAAATCAGCATTTCACTCTTCCCCTTAAAAACAATGTTCAACTAAAATTTATTATTATTATTTTTTAATCCTCAACCAAGGACATTTTTTCATTGCTTTTAGAGAGAGAAGGTGGGGGGAGAGGGGGAAAGATGGGGAGGGAGGAGAGAGAGAGAGGGAGAAATACATCATTGCAAGAGAGTAGCATCAATTGGTTGCCTCTGTACACACCTGAACCAGGAACTGTATATATACAAACTGGGGATCTGACGGGCAACCCAGATTATATGCCATGACCAGGGACTGAACCCGCAACCTTCCTGTTGTGGGACAACGCTTCAATCAACTAAGCCACACCAGCCAGGGCTAAAATTTTAATTAAAGTTTTTTTAAAAGGTCAGAAACATAAGTTCCTCTTACTTTCATTTTTTTAAAATACAAATTCCAGAAGCCCACAAAATATAATGGAATTATCAGGAGCAGGGTCAAAGGAATGGACATGGACACCAACTCAAACTAGATTAAATAGTATCCTCAAACACCAGGGGAGCTCCTTCATTCAAGTGCGACACCATCTGAGACAACCAGTGTCAGGACTGCCTGTTCCCATAACGAGTGATTCTTCTCCAATACTTTGAACCATCTGCATGAACACTCAGACCTACTCCCTCTCCCTGGCCATCTCCTTCATATACAGATAACACCAGTGCTTACATCTGTCCTGCCAGGTGGATACCCTGAAGGCACCCCAATCTCAGTGTATGCAAAATTAAACATCTCAGGTCCGTTCCTTCTGTGTCCCTGTGTGTCTTAATGATATCACCGTCTTCTCAGTGGCCTAAGATAGAATCTAGTTTTCTTTTTTCCTCACCATTGCCCTCTCTCTTCCCAAAAGCAAACCAGTTTCAAAAAAGAGATGTGTCGCTTATCTCTACAATACCACTTAGGGCCTATCCCATATCCTATCTCAAGTCTCATTACTGCTGTGCTGACCCACACCAACAGTTCCAACCTAGCTGTCCACCATTTCTCATCGCTTAAGTGAATCCACCTACTCTGAACATTCCAGACAGACTGATCTTGCTATGCATGTCCCTTTCCAATCTGTGGTCCCCCACTGTCTTCCATGGCATGCCAGATTTTCAGAAGTTGAAGAACTTTCCTCTGACCCAACCATCCATTCACTTGATCTTGGAAACTCCTCAAATTCAAAATGCTCTGACCTAAACTTCAAGGCCATTCCTGCTCTGGCCCCAATCTAAAAAGCCTGTAATGCTGTACAAACAAGAGGAACTATGCTATCCCACTGCTCGCAGGTTAAAAGTCAAAAATTTCAACCCATCCAACTGAGGTCAACATGGCTTGGCCTCTGCCTATGTCTCTGGTCTTGCCATGCTCCCTTTTGATCTCCCTGCCTCAGCCACCTGGCTTTCTAGACCCAGTTTGCTATAATTCCTCTCATCCCCAAGCCTCTGTATATGCTGGCCCCTTAGCATCTCACCCCTCAGATCTCAACTCAAAAGTCACTTATTCAGCCACTAACCTTACCATTGCAAACTAAGTCAAGTCCTCTGTTTGTCCCCTTCTCTTCACTTCCATGTCCTTAAGCAAAATCATACGAAATTGATTACTGGATGTCTTACTCCCAAGCTAGAATGTAAGCTCCACAAAAGCAGGACAGTGTCTGTCTTGTATCTCACAACCTAACCCAGAAGAGCCCCCAACAAATGTGTAGTTTATATTAATTCATAAGTCAGAACACCGAAGTTACAAGGACAGTCCCACAACACATTGGTTGTGAAATCACTTGGTTTCTTCCTAAAAATAAAGAGCTCATCTCTTCAGTGTTCTCTGAGTTCCCCTGAAGATCTGACAATACCTGTGTCTACAATTCTACCGTTCCAAACTTCTCTGTCACAACTCTCTTCTACATACCCTCGCACCAGCGAAGTACTTTACTTTCTGGTCCCCACAATTTTGTTTGCATCCTTCTTTCCACCTGGAATTTTTTTTCCCAGATGCACACTTCCAAATCCTACTTAGTCTCAGATGCTCAAATCCAATGTCACCTCCTCCTCAAAGTTTTCCTTGCATTCTCCAGCTAGTCACAACCTCTCCACCCCTAAATTCCCACAGGTTCTCCAATGCCTCATTCAGGTCTCAGCTCATATGTCGCTTTAAATGAGAGGCTTCTCCTAAAGTAACCCACCAGTTATCATTCTCTATCAGACCATCCTATTTTCTTTTCTTAAAAGCATTTACCATTATCTGAAATTATCTTGTTCATTTCTTTCAGTTATATTTTTACGTGTTAATTCCCTGTCTCAGGACTAGAACGTAAGATCCATGAAAGCAGGGACCCTATGTCTTTTGTTCACATTTCCTCACTCCTCTACATCTGAGATCAAAAGTATTCTGTAAATATCTGCCAGAGGCAGATAACAAAGGGTATTTGTGTACATACGTTTCTCTTGCTATATTCCAAATTCTTTATGGACTGGGCCAAAGTCTAGTTAGTCTATTTGTGCACATAATCTGGAAATCCTTGCACAACTAAAGTAAATAATAGATAACTACTAATTAATTAATGAGTGATTTCTCCAAGAGGTACTGACCTGAACCAGGCCAACTGAGAACCTGGTATTTCCCAGAAATCAGGGCAAACAGGAACCTCTTTCTATGCCCTCTCCAAGACAGACTTGTTCCAATCTGTGGCCTCCAGTGAGCTTCAAAGGGCTAGTTTCCTCACTTTCCTTTAGCCAACAATCATTGATTCTTCTATCTCTAATATCTCACTACCTTACTCTTTCCTTTCTATCTCCAGCCAACAAATCACTGCCAACGCTTTTTTTTTTTCCAGACTACCCCACATACCCAATCCGTCGGGGAACTCATGAGGCCCTGGGGAACAAGGGAATGTTAAAGACGAAGTGTTTAAATAAGACTGGCTCTTTTTCACCTTTCCTTTCATAGCTCATCTATCCAGAAGAGGCCCAGTTTCAGAGACTGGCTTTGATACACTTTGGGACCCTAAGCTTTCTTCCCATGTAGCGCGCCGCACCTAAACCCCTTTGGGGTACCCTAAAGCCCTTGCCTCGAACCTTTCATCTCCCAGTACAGGAAGACCCCAGGCCACAGACGATGATCTCCCGTAAGCAAACGGTCCGCAAACACCGTGGGGTCCCCACCTCCCCACTTTCTATCTCGCATTCGCCTCTGGCCAGAGGCTGTCTCGAGCGCCCCTTACCCCAACCTCTGGCTGGGCCCGACCCTCCAACACCACCTTGCACTCACCTGAAGCGGCCCCCGCAATGCTGGCACTGCTCGCCCACCCAGCCGGCGGGGCAGATGCACTGGCCGGTGCCAGGGTTGCAGCGGCCGCCGTTGACACAGGGCCGGTCACATTCCTTGGCCTCGGCTGCGGATGAACCCAATACCACCGCCGCTGCCGCCGCGGCCTCGGCAGCCCAGGGAAGCAGCAGCAGAAGAGGGAGCAGCAGCAGCAGAAGCTGTGGGAGGCGCAGCCCGGCCCCCAGTCCCGGCCTCCCAGCCCCAGGGACGTCCCAGTCCCGGAGCGGTTCGCTGTGCCTGCCCGAGGGCACTGTCGTCGCTGCCGTCCTCCTCCTCAGCCTCCCCTCAGTCGCCGCCGCCGCCGCCGCCGCCACCATCTTCCCGGGGCTGAGACCAAGCCCCACGAGCACACACACACACAGCTCACGGCCGGCTCCTCTTCGCCCGGCCGTGCGGGGCGGGGCCGTGCGGACGGTGGCTCAGGCGGTCAATCCTGAGGGAGGAGCCAGGGTAGCGCGGTGGGCGGGGCCGACGCGTGCAAACGTGCGTGAATGAGGTGGGCGGGCCGCTGGCTTGCGGCACTGGTGATCCTGAAGCCGAGCTTCTGATGATGAGTCTGGGTTTCCTCGAGACCGCCCCCCCTCACACGCCCCAATACTGGTTCCTGGTACCGAGGCACCATAGCGGGCTAGTTTTTGCGCTTCTCCCAGCAAGGCGGTGACGGGGTAGCAGTCCTGAAGCACGCTCTTCCCGTTGGCTGCCTGGGGCCGGCAGCTGTGCTAGTGAAGCCGGCCGTGTTGAGTGCTACCCTCCCGGGGATCTCGGCGCCTGCCTTCGCTCTGCCCCAAATTTATCGGCCGGGTAAAAAGGGCCTAGGAGGCTGCGCTGTGGTGTGGTGCTCCGTGCTGCATTTCAGCTTCCGCTTTCTCCTCCGTAAAATAGGGATAAGGAGATAACATGAATGTTAAGAACCTAGCGCATAGACTGTGCTCAGTAAATGTTTAATAGACTGTGAATACACACACAGCCCTGCCTCCCTTGATTCAGGCTCATTCCGTAGCAGATCAGACTCCCAGACACCCACCTTTAATTCAGTGAAGGAGGTTTGGGGTTATCTTGATCCCTCCTCCTCCCCCTCCAACCATCTCTGAAGATGGGGGCAGCATAAAATTTGGGATTAGCTAACCCTCAACCCGCCTAAATCTGCCTGGAGAGGCTTTCTTGTCAGGCAGTTTATTATTTTGGTGATCCCCAATAAAACATGCTTCCTGGAGGTATAACCTTGTGTGGTCCTTGACCTGGGATCTGGACTGGACCTATGTCTTGACTTAACAAACATAAGAAGGTGGTAGGAATGACTGTGCCAGTTCCAGACCTGAGTTTTAAGAGCATCTGGCAATCTTGATTTTGAGCTGTTGATAATAATCCTGAGCTGATCTGCCTCTTCTGCCAGGTTGTAGAAAGACCACATGCAGAGATGACATTGAGGAAAAGTAGGGACCCAGTTATCATCAAGAACTGAAGCCCCAGACACAGGAACCTGGTGGACCCATCCCAGCTGAGGGATCAATCATTGTGGGAAGAAGCCAACTAAGTTGTTCCAGCCAGCTGGGCTGTTCCTCATAACCTAGAACAGAGACAAGTCTTTCCTCCTGTGCATTACACCAAATCCTGAGAAATGATAAAGTGGTGGCTGTTTCAGGACTCTAAGTTTTAGAGAGGTTTGTTACTCAGCAATAGATAACCAGAGCACTGTCTGACATAAGCCTTGTGGTGTGAGAAATATTCTTGGAACTTCCAGTCAAGATGGTGGCATAAGCAGACATGGCTCGCCTTTTCGCACAACATCAAAATTGCAACTAAAATATAGAATAACCCTCCATCAGAACCAACAGAAATCAAGTTGAATAGAAGTCTGACAACTATGGAATTAAAGAAACCACATACATTCAGACTGGTAGGAGAGGTGCAGATGCAGAATAAGCTGGTCCCTCGCCTACATGTGGTGGATAAAAATTCGGAAGGAATATTTCGGGAGTGAGGAGTCCTAGTCCCATCTCAGGGTTCCAGTGCTAGGAAGATAAATCCCCACAACTTCTGGCTGCAAACACCAGCAGGATTGAGTCTGTGGAAGAAAGTGCTTGGACCCTCAAGCAGCTCCTCTTAAAGAGCCCACACATGGACTCACCTACTCAGACTCATGTCTTCTAAGCTCCAGCACCAGGGTAGCAGCTTGAAAGACACTAATGGCATACAGGGAGAAACTGAAGTGTCTGGCATCAGGGTGAACAGAGGCCATTGTCCCCTTTCTAAACCCTTCCCCGCAGAGCTGGCAAGTGGGTGCCATATTTCAGACTCCATTTTGAGCTGCCTTGGAGATCCCCAGAGAATCCACCCCACCCAATTTGCAGGTGCACTCAAGCTGCTTTTCCATATGAATGGCTGGTCTTTGATCCTGCTTCACAACTTCCTAAATCCTCTCAAAAAAAGCAACAGCTGGCCACAGTAGGCCCCAGGCCCAGCACTACTTGCAGCCAGCCTACGGTCACAGCTTGGCTTTGCCTGGGAATCTCCAAGCCCAGCATAAGTAGCAGCCATCTCAGAATGCTTTATAGCTCAGGCAGGGTGGCCCCAGACAAAACAGAGGTGGAGGCTGACCTTGGCCTGCACCACCCAGGAAACCCCAGGGCCAATGCACCCAGTGGACAGCTACAGACCACAATGGAATACCCCCTCCCTGCCCCTGAAGAGCAGATCCTCCATGGAGGGTGGAGGGTGGTGGTAAATGGTCCCAGCCAGTCCTTGCAGCTGGCTTGCCTGGGTAAATCCCTCCCATTGATCTGCCAACCAAGACTCAACTACAAGAGGAGGTGTACTCAGCCCACATAGAAGGTACACCTTGAGTACTCAGCTTGGGTGATAGGAGAGGATGTGCCACCAAACCCTATAGGACATCTAGTACATTAGGCCACGCTACCAAAACATGGAGTCAAAGCAGCTCTACCTAATAGATAGAAACAAACAGGGAGGCTGCCAAAACAAGGAGACAAAGAAACATGGTCCAAATGAAAGATCAGATCAAAACTCCAGAAAGAGAGCAAAACAAAATGGAGATAAGCAATCTATCAGATGCAGTGTTCAAAACATTGTTTATAAGGATGCTCACTGAACTTAGTGAGGACCTCAACAGCATAAAAAAGACCTAATCAGAAACAAAAGATACACTAATTGAAATAAAGAACAATTTACAGGGAAACAACAGTAGAGTGGATGAAGTTGAGAATCAAATCAATGATATAGGACATAAGGAAGCAAAAAACAACCAATCAGAACAACAAGAAGAAAAAAGAATCCAAAAAATGAGGATCGTATAAGCAGCCTCTGGGACAACTTCAAGAGGTCCAACAGTCACATCATGGGTATGCCAGAAAAAGAGAAAGAGCAAGAAATTGGAAATCTATTTGAAAAAATAATGAAAGAAAACTTCCTTAATTTGGTGAAGGAAATACACATGCAAGTTCAGGAATCACAGAGAGTCTCAAACAAGATGGATACAAAGAGGCCCACTCCAAGACACGTCATAATTAAAAGGCCAAAGTTTAAAGATAAAGAGAGAATCTTAAAAGCAGCAAGAGAAAAGCAGTTAGTTACCTAAAGGGGAGTTCCCATAAGACTGCCATCTGATTTCTCAAAAGAAACTTTGCAGGCCAGAGGGATTGGCAAGAAATATCAAAAATCATGCAAAGCAGGAAACTATAGCCAAGATTTTTTTTTGGCTATAAAAAAAACTCTACCCAGCAAATATATCATTTAGAATAGAAGGTCAGATAAAGAGCTTGCCAGACAAGAAAAAAACTAAAGGAATTCATCATCACCAAACTATTATTATAGGAGATGTTAAAGGGACTTATTTAAGAAAAAGAAGATCAAAACTATGAACAATAAAATGGCAATAAATACAAATCTTTCAACAACTGAATCTAAAAAAACAAACTAAGGAAACAAGAAGAATAGAGACAGAATAACGGCTACAGAGAGCCTTTTCATGGTTGCCAGGTGGGAGGGGGTTGTGGGGGAATGGGTGAAGAGATGAGGGTTAAGAAGAACCAATAGATAGTTACAGAATATCCATGGGGATGTAAAGTACAGTATAAGAAATGGAGTAGCCAAAGAACTTCCACACATGACCCATGGACATGAACAATGGTGGGGGGATTGCCTGAGGGAGTGGGGGGTGCTGGGTAGAGGGTGGCAAAGGGGGAAAAATCAGGACAACTGTAATAGCATAATCAATAAAATATAATAAAAACAAAAAATAAATATTCTATGGCAGCTATCTCAGAGTCCCAGCATCGTATAGTCCTCTGGAAACAAAGAAAGCCCCTCATATACCTGAGGAGCCTCTCAGCTTTACTTAGAGCACAGAATTCTAAGATTCTAAGATAACCCTTACACTCACACCCAAGCCTAACCTTCCTCACACTGCATCTCCTTTTAGCATGGTAAAGTGAACTGCACAACAGCTTTCCACCCATACATCCCTCCTATTTCTACCTGAAACCTATTGTTTGACCTAGGCTCTTTCACTGGCATTCTGGTTTGCAAGTTATTTTTGGTTCAGTGTCCTACATGGGGATGTATAGGATCAGGTAGGGAAATAGAAGATCTGGCCCTACCCTCTTCCTCCTGAGTGTCTTGGAACACTTGCTCCAGGGAAATCCAGCTTCCAGAAAAGAAGTCCAGCTACTTGCTCTGATACCACCATACTGTGAGGAAGCCAACCCCCAGCTATTCAGCCATCTAACCATTTGAGACTTCCCCGGTGAGGCCCCAGATAATTGTGAAGCAGAGGGGTGTCTTCTCTGCTGAACCCACCCCAAATGGCAGATAGGAGCAAAATAAATAAGTATACTCATTTCAGCCCCTAAATTTTAGGACAGTTTGAGACGGCAATAGATTACCAGAATACTCTGTAATTTGCTTCTTCCAAGGACAAGAATAAGTCTTGTGAGGTAAACTTAGATTAGGAATGGCTGTATAATTATGTATACATATTTAATGTACAATTAATCATCTATGTATAACACACAGTGATCTCATTGGCCATTTGCTCCTCATGGAAGAAGTCGCTGTAGCTCCAGAAGCATTTCTTTTGGACTCTTCATATTTTATCAAAAAGATTTTGTGGCTCTTCTACCTGAAATCCCACACCATCATCTTCTCTACTAGGCCTTATCAAGGTGGTCACTTCCAGGTTCCAGAAATTTTAATGCCAGTGGCAAAAAATTCCTAGCCTTTGATCTGGAACTGCTCAAAGTCCAGATTCTAAATAAGAGTCCTCACCAACTGCATGACCAAGAAGGTTGGCATACACTATGATGATTGGAAAGTATCTCTGCCAGTGTGTGTGTGTGTGTGTGTGTGTGTGTGTGT